GGCGGGTGCATGAAGTGGCTCGAACGTCGGGAAGGTGCGGTCCTGTGGTTGAGAAGACTGGGCAAGGCGGAAGGCTGTCGCGCGCGACTCAGCGGATGGGAGTGTGGTTGAAGTCGAACTCGCTGTGGCTGGTCGATTCTGAATTTAAACAGGACGCGTCGGCGCACGTGATATATGTCGAAATGGGGTTGTTGGTCCTGATTTTGTGGCGTTGGTCAGCGGGGGCCATTGTTCTTTCTTCTTTATTTGGGCAGTGACACTAAGCGAGGGTGGGTGGAGGGCGAGGGACGCGTAATGGGGTTGCTTCCGCACAGATGTGCCACTACTAGCGCCGTTCGGTAAATCTCGCCAAGCGCTCCGACAGTGGATTGTCAGCGTACCTCGAAGTGTTCTAGGAGCCTCGAACTTCGAGTTTTTCACTGAATTGTCAAATTTATTGATTGTTTCATGATATGACTTATCGACCATCCTCTTGCCCGGGCAGCATTTTTGACAGTTCTCGACGAATGGCCTTCATAAGGCGAAAGCGGGAAGGGGCTGTCAAAGATATGAGTTATTGCTCAATAGTCTCATTGTTCTACCGCGACAGCTCGCAGATCTGTGCAATAGAGATTATCGTTGTCGTAGCCATCTTTCTTCCACAAGGCCCCTTTCATCTCCAAATTTAGATGCCAGTAATGAGGCCACGACGTGTGGTGCCGAAGAAACCTCTTTGTGCAACAAGGACATCTATTTTCTTTCAGCCATCATGCGAAAAAGTGCCAGAATAAGGGGAGGATGAGCGGACCGTGATACTCTTCAACTACATGCATCAGCAGAAGCGCGAGCAAGGACTTTGTATGATCGTGAGCGTTACTCAGGTCACGGTCACCGTTCCTCTCGAAATGTCGTGCACACTCACGCACGCTTTATGGGTTTTACATGGCATGCCTTTCGTCCTTCGTCCCTACTCCATAGCCATGTACCGGAGCCCGCTGTCCTCTTAGTGATTGCTAGAATCATGAGGATGCGTCCTTCAAAGGTACCCCAGTTACTACGACGAGGATGCAGCTTCATGGCGCCGGAATATGATGGCAGCAGGCAGAGACTGCGGGGTCCGGAAACAAAACGTGCTCTCCTACACAACATCCCTGTCTGCTACGATCAGACTCGGTATCAAGTCTCACGTGCCTGTTCTTATACGCTGTGCACCAAGGCACCTAACGTCGGTCTATTCTACGCGGCTGGAAGGACGGAAGCCACAGAAGACTCACTCTCGCAGCAATTACACAGCTACGAATTCAAGCCGCGAAAAAGCGTGAAGAGTGCGAGATTCGCGCAGATTCCGAGTTCCATCTATCGATACTGAGTGTCCCACTTTAGGCCAGCACGAAACGCCACCTGTAATTATCTCTCTTCGGCGCTCATCAGGTCCTGACATTACGAGTCACTGGTCGTACTTGCTTCATCTTTCTGCCACGCCTCGTTTCTCTCGTTCGTTCTTAAGTGGGCAGGATCGCCCCCCAGATCTCTCTAGATACCCGTACCTCTGGACGCATGGATACTAATAGTACTACGAAGCGCCGGGAGAGCCTCTGGTATAACGATGGGACGGTGACTCTGAAGGCAGAGAATACGCTCTTCAGTGTCTACTCCGGTCTGCTGGCTCAGCGGTCCTCCGGCTTCAAAGATATGTTCTCTATCCCCTAGTCATTCTATATCCCCTTGTCGGACAACAAGGACCTCATGGACGGATGCACATGCATGGAAGTGTATCATTCGGCACGCGATATGCGGTACTTTCGCAAAGCATTATTCTTTTGGACGTAAGCCGTCTAACTCAGCTTATCCTACATTTGGTTTGGGTTGGACCTGATTCTCGGTGGTAGCGACTACGAGCAAGTTACAACGAGCGCCCGCCCATTTAACTGAGGCTTTAGTATCGCCCTCGTCAGACTTGGCATCGAATACGACGTCCCTGTCCTCAAGTGTGGTGCTTTCAGGAGAGCACAAGCTGGAGAAGTATGACTATGACACGAGCACTATTTTGGGCAAGCTGTCGGGAAAGGAATATTCAGAATCGCCCCCGAGTACGACCTCTGCATATTCCAGCCGTCCGCCCTCTAATTCCACTGCGACATTGACGACAAGCTCGATATGCCTCCTGCCGTCAGCGACTACCCGGACGACCTGATCCGGTGCTACACCGGCCGGCAGAAGATAAAGGACTTGTGATGCGGGGTAGGTCTCGAGATAGCTCTCAATGAGAGGTTCACGGGCTCCTGTTCCGCCCGGTCGGAATGCGGGCTGTGCAAAGTTCGATTGGCTCCGCCACTACTGGCACTACAAGCCTCTGCAGCTGATCCATGGCAAGAAAACAATCGTTCAACTTCCTGCAGGAGCCGGTCGGGTCGTGGCTCGAGGGTGCGCAGGGGTTTTGATAGAGCTGCCGTTCAAGTTGTAGTTTGGAGACGTTCGTCAAGGAGGCGCGCCCGGCGATGTGGGTGGTGTTTCACTCGTACTTCAACCTTCCACCCTGGGATGTTCTTCGGAAGGAGCTGGAGAGTGATCTGCCGGACGAGGACGAAGAGCAGTTCGACGATGACCCGGACGGCGCGAGCAGTAGCGACGTTGATGAAGAGGACGATGACGATGATTGACTACCAAGACCGCGATGGTAGCGCGGCGAGGGAAGGCAAACGTGCTTGGGCAAGGTTTCTCAGCGATGTACACCCAGTTCTAAGTATAAAGCTCTGGAATCCCTCTGTGTATCGTCTAATCAACCGCGTCCAGCCCTCCTGTCATGATATGGCCGTCAAGGCCGTACATGTGTCGTTGCTCCCCCGGGTCTGAAGCGTCTTCACTTGCTTTTCCACTCCCCATGATGTGCCGCTATCATTACTGACGAGATGGGACCCCTGCTCTTGGATTCTATGCTCCTTCAATCAAGCTTCTATGCCTCGTTGATACGGACTGTACGTCGATGCCAGGATGTGTCGCTCCCCCGAGAAATGCAAGGTGGAGCACATCACCTGGCTCCGGTATGGCGAGCCTTCCGTTTTGATCTGCGGTTATCGTGCGTGCAGGGCACAGCTATAATTATCAGTGACTGGGGACCATGCTCGAGTTCCGTGTCGCTTCATTCTAGGTTCAACGCCTCGTTGTTTCCGCGTGTTCTTTCATATCCATGAACCGAAGACACCTCTGTCTCTCGCGTCCTTCTCCACCCCGGTCATGCAGACACCAGAGGCGAACGAGCCGCTCGCAGCGTAGGCAATATGCAAACGTTGCGAAAGCCTGTGGTTCGACGACGGGACCGTGGTGCTCAACGCAGAGGGCACCCTCTTCCGCGTCTACCGGGGCGTGCTTTCGCGGGAGTCTTCTGTCTTCAGGGATATGTTCTCTATCCCACAATCGGGTGTGGACGAGATAGACGGATGCCCGCTCGTTCGAGTGTACGACTCGGCGGCGGATATGGAGCGCTTCCTCAAGGCCTTTTTAGTCCCCGCGTAAGTGTTAGCTAGTATCAAATGTCAGTCGCACAAGGGGGTTGACTTGTACCGGCAGATATTACGAGGAAGCCGTGAGGGACGGCTTTGACGCCGCCGTCCTCTCTGCGATCATCAGACTAAGTATCAAATACGACGTGCCGCGACTCAAGCGCAACGCCATCAAGCGACTGTCTTCAATATACCCTGCCAGCCCTGATGAGTGGAAGAACTACGAATACGACGCAAATGCCAGTCTACGCAGCCAGATCGGCAAGGCAGTATTCAGGATTGCCCATGAGTGCGACCTGCGCGCGTTCCTCCCAAGCGCATTGTATTTTCATTCCGATGTGGACGACCAGGGCGGGCTGCCAACAGCAACTCAGTATAGTCCTGATCCCAACGACTTGCTTAGGTGTTACTCCGGTCGTCAGGCGATCATGGATTGGTGGAGACGCAAGGCCCAGGAGGTCGCTCCGAGACACCCCAGGTGCAGCACTTGCGGCGCACCCAATTGGCTCGACATCGTTGCTGGCAAAGGCTCGCTCCGCCCTCTGATTAGCGGAGAGACACGCTGGCATGACTGCCTGGCGTTAGACTGGGAATTCACGTCCAGATGCCCCCTCTGTCGCGGACATCGACAACAGATAGTTGGCGAAATGAAGGACACGCTTCGATTAGAACTTCCTGCTCACTTTCACCTCCCCGCCTGGGATGTACTCTTGAAGGAACTGAATGCGCATCTCGAGTACAAGGATCAGCTGTCGGGGCCCTCCGGCAACTGATATCGAACTATCACCCGTAAGTACAGAATCGGCATACCATGCTCCTGGCGCCTAATTACTATTTCCCTTGTTTCTGGGTTGTCAGTGACGATACCCGCTGGTAGACTCGGCAGATCTCTGCAACTTGGCTGAGGACAAGCGAGCGGGCTGGCGGGTTCCCATCGGCCCTCCCCGCTCGTCCTCCTCCTCATTGGCAGACGCAGGGATGACCCGCTTCGATTCATAGGATAAGTAAGATGCTATGTACACCCGGTATGAGATGTTCATGAGGAAGGTTGCGATACATGTAGGATGCTTGCTCTGACGACGAACTCCTCGGCATGGTCGTTGATAAGATTTTTTTTGGTAGAACATGGACGTGCAGTGAGCATTGGAGAGGGGTTGCGGACGGCAGATGATCGTGCTCCTGGGCGTATACTTGGGAAGGTGGGTTGGTTCCCCCGCCGAACACTGTACAGCTGTCCACGAAACATTAAACCATGTACGGGGGACGGATGGAGGTACACGGACTTATCGCTTTCCTGAGGATGGAAACGACTATGCCACGAACTCACGCGCCGTCGTCCTGCTCCAGAAAAAGTAGTCGCTCCGTCAACCCGAGACATCGCGATGGTAGGATCAAGGTAGGATAGTCTTGCACATTCACGTTTCGGTTCATACACAATACGTGGAGGACCAAGGGACACATCTTCACAGGCGTACTACCCTCTGGAGAGTCAAGCGATCGTTCGCTCCACATCCGCGTATGATAAAGAGAGGCTTCCTCCATGGGTATACGAACTTTATAAAAGACACGCGAGTGTAACAGAGCGACAGAAAAAAATTCGATAGAGAATATAACATACTCCATCCACATACACAGAGGGCCTGCATATCGCACAGATACACCTCACCACACGCTCTGCTGCTGCGGCGCCGGGCTGCTGGGTATGCTCTGCGGGAGCACCGTGCTCCGCGGCGCCTCCTTGAACGTCTCGACCTCCTTGCGCCACTCGATCTTCTCGACGCGCACCTCGCCGTCGATGAGCTGGTAGACGTATGTCACGACGACCGGGCCTTGGATGTCCATCAGCGCGAAGGAGGGGACGGGGTCGCTAAGGAGGGGTGAGTTGGTTTCGGGTGGATTGGGTTTGGAGAGGAAGGGAGGGGCGTGGCGTACCTGGAGTATGCACCCGTCCATGCACCTGTTGCGGAGCCGGGGTTGACAAAGAAGTGGTTGTCGTATTCTACCGCTTGGAATCTATTGTGATTTAGACGCAAAGCAGTTGTGCGGTCGGTTGCACCGCTAGGCTGATAGGTCAATGAAACCACTCACGTATGCGTATGCCCCGAAATCAACACATCCACGTCCATCTGCCTCGCAATCGCACCCAGCGAGTCCAAGTCACCCGTCGGTATACACTGGTGCCCATGGACGACGCCAATCTTGATCGGCGAGTGGTTCACGGTGATGGACAGCGGCAGCGCCGCGCTCTACGTTTCTTCATCACTTTTACCAGACGCAGCCACCAGCGCGAGGAACAGCGCGCACCTCATCGTAGTCCCCGCGCACGACGTGCACGTCCGCGGCGACGGTCTTAAGCCACTCGTACGTCTCCTTGTCGCAGACGTTGCCCGTACACAGGATTTGCTGGATTTTGCCTGGCACGAGCAGTTTCTTGAATTTGGCGGGCAGGTCGTGCACGCGGTGCGGGATGTGCAGGTCCCCAATAACGAGGACGAGGACCATCGTGTCGAGCAGAGTACGGTAGAAGGAAGAGACAAGCCGCAGCTACGCGCAAGGGTGGCTGTGGCTGTAGCCGAATATGATATTCCTTTGCTTTTAACTACTCTATCCTACAGCTAGTCTAACCATGGCACAAAGTCTCTCGTCGGAATGCACGCCTCTCAAGCATGAATACGACGCCTGCTTTAACGCGTGGTTCGAGGGCTACCTCGAGCCCGCCGTATCGTCCGCCACCGCGCCGTCAGAGGAGCGCCAGGCGTACTCACGACGTAAGGCCGAGGAATACGAGGCCAGCTGCGGGAAGATTTGGGCCAGCTATCGGGAGTGCGTGCAGGTGCGTCTGTCAGGATTTGGTACGGGGAAGGAGGAGCTGAATGAGGGGATGTGTGGGGAAATAGAAAGCCGTGAAGGACCGTGGGTTGGAGGAGCTTTTAGCCCAGGCGAGGGAGGAGAACCCGCTCAAGGAGCCCCCGCCACCACCCTCGCCTGAGGGAGCGTCATCTTGACCATTCATTGACATCTCTCGTCACTGGTCGACAGCTTCACAGACTTGTGAGTGCGGTTCATTGCGCTGCGAGGTAGCAGTAGACTGACGGTGCCTCGCAAGTGCGCACGGACTTTATTGTATCAATCATCTGACCTTACAGCCCTTCCGAGGCGCAATGTATCATATCGTATTGCATCCTGTTGCACCGTCAATTTAATCTGCACCGCTCACTACCCCCAATGTGCCCGATTAGCCCGCTTCAGGTCGTATAGGACCAGCGCTCTCAGCCCCGGGTCGGGTCAGAACACCGCAGACCATGCGGTTCGTTGCCTCAAATTTACAGAAATCTGCAATGTCGTCACGGCGTCCACGATGGACCTTTATCGATGATGCCAGGGAAGTATCCTCCACGCGGACCATTTATCATGCGCCAACTGACTTCTTCGAGGTGAAAATGCCTCATGTCATAGCGCCCCGGCCAGAATACAAATCTTCCACCAATCATCCACGATATGGCATGCGTAACTTCCACACTTGGTCGCGCCCCGATGTTCGAATTCTCTCACCCATGGCTAGGTTGGGCGTCGACATACAAGTTTAACGCAACCACCTTCGCTGTTGTTCGTCAATTCGCTCCCGCGAACGGCGGAATTTGTGAGTGTGTGCCGCGTCTGCCCACTGACATCACTACGTTAGAACATCGGACGAGGCATGGCGAGTGCTCTGTCCTTGAGCTTCCTTGCTACTTCTAACTGCTCGTCCCTTTGAGGCTGAATTCATGACGATCTTGCCTCACTCATCTACCCTGGCCTTCGAAGCTCCCAGCCAACTGCGAGTTTTGTTGACACGCAGTCCGTCGCCTCAAATCCCAGATCCGCTCAGAATGACATGCACAGTGTTGCCACGACGTTCACGACGGAGTGACAATCCCTGGCGCGTGTCGACGCTCTTTCATGACCTCACAGTCCAGTCCGTACAAAGCTGGCCAGATGACCTAGATCTTCACATTCGTATTCCACAATGCATCCAGGACCACGCGAAACACATCGATCGCTCGTCGGTAATCCAGTAGTCTTCGCTGGGCCATGCGGCTGGTTTCCCTCTCTTGCAAAAAGGTGTGCACGCTCTCAGCACGTGGTTCCGGGCTCCCTCTATAAAACACGGGTGCGCAGGGGAAGGACTATGGTATCGATTTTCTCCCGTGGTTGACGCCATCACTGCAACGCCGGTGCGTAACTGCGGGAATTATCTGTCTCAACATAACCCGTGAGGTTGGCCGTATACAGAGCGGAGAGAGGTTCGAACGTCGAGGGTCGATCGGACGTCCGCTGCTCCTTGACACGAGGCGGACACCACCTTGTCCATTCACCGCCGCAAACGAAGCAAGTACGTTCCATTCGTATTTAGGGTACGTAGTACTGACACTCACATTTACACCATGATAAAGCAAACTATTCGTATCGACCTCATATGACCTGAAGAGAAGCATGCCCGAAGAACTCTATACAACCCAGAACATAAGCATGAGCGTAGAATATGAAAGAACAAGCAAGGAGCAAGAGCGCGCAACATAAGTACGTCCATATCATATCTTGCAACCTGGATGATCCTCGCATCACGGAGACTTACCAGTCAAGGTGCGCGTCCACTTCGATGGTGTCTTTTGACCAGAGGCTGATATTGCCAAACGCGCCGAGTATATCCTGTAAGGGATGGATAGGCTGGGCAAAGTCGAAAGGTGCCATCGACATCATCGACGCGTCGCGGATGTCGATGTCGCCCGCTTGGTCCGGCAAGTCGACGTCCATCGGCTCCTCGTCGACATGGTCTAGCCCCGCGAGAATCGACACCGGCATGCCAGCGGGACCCTCGGTCACCTCGCACTCCATAGGGTCTACCGGCCCATGGAACGAGATGTCCATGGCCGACCCATCCGCGAACTCGACCTCTTCGATGACGCACCTCGGGCGCCGAATCTGGACCTTCCAGTCCTGGTCCATCCGGTCCACCGGCCTCTCCTCGTCATCTGAGTCCTCAGCCTCCTCCTCGAGCGCCTCCTGCGCGAGGACCTCCGCGAACGCGTTCGCGTACACTGCCTGGTACGCGTCGTGTTCGAGCGCCCACACGTTGTCCCAGCGCGGCTTGAGCACGCCGTCATCCTCGATGTGCGGGAGCTCGATGCCGCGCTCTTCCAGGTCGGACGCGAGGTTCTCCCGGGCGAGGATCTGCGCGTACGCGCGCGCGAGGCCTTCGGTGTAGACCTCGCGCTCGAAGTCGTCGCGCGGGGCTCGCCCCATCCCGATGGCGAGGCAGGCGAAGGAATCCGGCGGTGGCCGTCGGGCTGCCACCGGTTGCAGGTGCTCTGTTGCCTGCTCATTATATGTATTATCCTGGACAGGATGCTGCATGTGGTGTGCTGGCAGCGGAGCCTCGTGTTCGGAAGGTTCCACCTTTACATGCAGACTGGGCGATATCTGTTGGAGAGGCGTCGAGGAAGGCGCCCATTTCAGGATCACGGTCGGCGTCGCTGAAGTGTCTTGCGCCGGGCCTTCCGCATCCTCTGTGGTCAGCACGCCAATCTCCTCGGCAGAACGCGCGAGGACGTCGTCCACTGGCTTCAAAGGCGAAAGGTTGCCAAGCTCGCGGAACGGCGAGCTTCGGGCAGGCGACGGTGAAGATGGGAGGGAGCCTCCCGTAGCCACGGCAGGGGAACGGGCGGCATTGCCCTCTTCGAGGGAGACAGTCGGTGGTTCCTCAGAAAACTCATCGGGGCGGCCGGGTTTCTCTGTGGCATCTTCGAGGGCCTCCGGGGCATCGATGGGATCGTCGTTACCGATGGCTTTATCTGCGATCTGCACCTCACCGTCGCCGTCCGCTGTATCATCTTCAGCATCAACTACGACTTCTTCGCAGTCCGCCAGGCGCTCGCGCTCCTCAGCCTGCTTCTCGACACCGACCAGGAAAGCGGCGACTAACTTGCGGACCAGCCGCTCCTTCCGCTATTCAAACATCAGTTTCGAGATCAGGGTAGGAGCCTCGAAGGCGCCTGGCATCCAGGCTTCGTCATTAAAATCCTCGGGCTCGACGCCCATTAGCCGGAACTTCTCCAGGCTCTTGGGCGGGAGATTGTTCTTTCCGATCGTCAGTAGAGCTCGATGTAGTCCAGTGGCGTACGACATACTTTGTTTATGTCACTGCAGGCCGTCAAAGCCTTGTGGCACTGGACGTATATACGCCACTCCTGGAAAGATGAGAGGTTGAGCCTCGGTGGCAGGAGTAGGGCACGAGCACTTACTCTATATCCCATCCCCTTCTTTTCGAGAACGCTAACAATCCAGGTCCGGAACAGGACTCTCGCCACCTTTCTGTTGAATTCAAGAAGCCTGGACTTCAGCAGCACGTGTTTTGCCGGAGAG